GCCTCTGCCTCCCAATTGCTGGGATTAAAGGCATGCGCCACCACTGCCCGGCCAGGTAACTCTTAAGAGTTAAACACAAGGTAAACACATAGTGTTCTGCATGTATTCCGGCTGGTAAGGTTGTTGATGTTGCATGGTGCTAAATCAGTGCCCTGATAACATTCCAAAGATGGAGTCAAGCTGACTTTTCAGAGTCACATACTTACCTGCAACGAGATTTTCATTCTTCCAAGTTAAGAGCATCTTGGCTTCTCCCACTCTCTCCCTTAATTAACATTAAAAACTTCTCTTTCTAGAAAGAATGTTTGTAGAACATCGATGTTATTTTGTTTCTTGTGGAGGGGGAGCTCCATAATAAAGAAAGCTGTAGCAGTGTGGGTTTTAATAACTCCTAATGGCATTATTAAGGATAATACATACTTCTCTTGTTTTCTCCTGCATCTCTCATCTTTATGCACGTCACTTTTGACAGTTACAAATACGGATGGTAATAATTATGATATAAGCTGTGCTCCAGAAATAGAAGCTTAGCCACCACTTGTCCATAATAGCTGTCATGAATCAACTCGTTTGTCATCAATTTCCCTTGGGGGATTACTATTTTAATAAAAAGACATGCTCTTAGTGACAGCACCCAACAAAAACTCATCAATTCAGTTGCTCTCTCTATATATTTTATATAATAATTGTGTTTTTCTGGTGTTTCTGTGTGTCTTGAGAATTCTGCAAGGAAAGCTTTCTACCTACATCACCAATGAGTATAAAAGGCAGGGAGGGGGGAGGCGAGGCTAAACTGTGCACATGTGTGTTCTGGAGCAATACAAAATGACATTTTCTTGTTATCAATGAAATATCTATGTAGATCCTCAAGAGTTGAGGAGTAAGGAGATCAGGAGTAGATAGATGTAACCGAGTATTTATTTAGATGATGCATTTCAAACCAGTTCCTCTAATATATGGAGAAATCATCTTCTGTGAAGCTTTGAATTAAATAAGTTACATTAAACTGCCGTGTTTCAGTGTTTATATAGTCCAATTTTCAAAAGCAATAGAAACTAGGCAGCTTTCTAAAATAGTAACAGATATGTTCTGTTTACATCTTGGTAAGCCAGTTCCATCAGAGTTTTGATTGTCGTTTTACCCATATTGATCCATACTTGTGAGACTTGAGGAGCTTGGGCTAGTTAGTTAGCCAGTCTCTCACCAAAGCTCTGTGCTTTCTGGTTTCGGGAAGAATTGCAGGACCATTGCTGGGACACATTAAAGCTCCAGGGCAATCTGACCTTCTGGACTTCTCCCAGAGAACTCGAACGCCCTCTAACCTGTGCATACAATGAGTAGGTCAGGCAAGTCGGGCCACTTACCCAGGAGGGAGGCTCTGGGAAGCGGCGGATAACCTCTTAGTAGCAGGACTACCTGGACCCAGGAAGGAAGACTAAATTAAGTGGTTGAATAGCTGCCACCAGGCAGCCTCAAGCCTGTGCTGTTAACAGGACCATCGCGCAATCCTTCCAAACTCCCTCCTCCCTCCACTGCCGTGTGTCACCTTCCTGTTCGGAAGTCTTAGTAGGTTGCTGGGACAGAACTGGGGGCGCCTGCTCCACCCATCAGGTATCCGGTTGGAAGAAAAGCCAGTCTCAACAACTTGATTCCTTCTCTGTTAAATGATAAGGTTAGCAGACCATCCGTCTCCAATCGCTGTCCATTCCAGGCATGGAGAGGAAGGGGCACATCCAAATCGGTCCTTTTCTGTTCCAACCACAAATATACGGTTGAGCTTTCTCTTTATTGCACTTGGAGGCCTCTGACTTGAATTCCATGTTCCTTTTGGAATGCATGCCAGAACTTCCCTGGGAGACCAGACCCTGTGCACGTGTTTTGAATTTTTTTCTGGACTGATTTGTGGTGATAATCAGTTAAGTTACATTTCTTGTATGTCTTGCTGGTGAAATAAGCCTAGGACGCTGATGACTGTAATTTTCTGGATGATGTTGCAACGGCAGAATAAATAGCCCAGTGTTGAACTTTGCAGCTTGCTCTCTTCCTGTATGTAAATTCCCTTTAGATATAAAGGGACTTAGAACAGAACCGCCATAGCAAGCAGCCTCTGGCTGGAGCTCCCTTGTCATCTGGGGCTTTCAGTCTCATCCCAAGCACATATCCTGGAGGCTAACTCTTTCTGTAACTAGTTCTTCCTGCGACCTCCATAAAGTAACGCCAGCCTTCACCTCCGCATCACTGAAGAATGAAAGAAGAGGCCTTAAGATCCCCTTGGAAAGGTTCGTGTTTTGAGTACTGTAGTTTGTATGGGATGAATAAAACAGATACTTGGGAGAGGCAGGAGGAAGCTCCTAATGCTAGGTGATGTACTAGGGAGGGTCTCTGGAAGACTTCCTGATTTAATGCTTTAAAACAAGTAAGCAAACATCTTTGTGGAGATTGGTGTTTCAAAGCAAACGTTTTCTGGAGGGGAAGTTACTGGGCAGGTGTGGCGGGGGCAGGGCAGGACTGGACTAAACAAACGACTGGTACCACATGGTTTGGAAGCACTCGCTGGCATTAACAAATTAATAGTTTATGCAGAATCCAAGCACGGAAAAAGCATGAGCTGGTTGCTATGATTTGGAATCGCCTACACCTTGTTTTAGTTTGGAGTGCCAATTTCAGGCACCCTAAGTGCATTTTGAAGAATGTCTACTAAGGAAAATTTCGTCTCAGAGTTATGCATTCTCCACTCTCCTAGTCTCTAGCTGTCCGAAGTGAGCAAATCAAGAAGCAGACTAGAGAGATCATGTTAGGTGATGGGATGTGGCCGCTGCTACAAAACAAACTCGCCCAAGACGGAGGAGAAAGCGCTTCGTATGCTTTTCCTAACTTGACAACTGGTATTTTGTGGTGTGTCAGTTCTAAAATGCTAAGCCTTTCGCAGCAAGGGGTCATGGCAGGGCAGTCACCGCAGACAGCACAGCCAGCGCCAGGTATTGGCCCAAGTAGCGGCCTTCTCGGCCCTGGCCCAGACTGGGTCCTCCGGGCTTCCCAGCCAGCGTTGGCGCGGGTCCCCGAGTTGGCTGTAAAGCTGCAGCGCCAGGCATCCCCCAGCGGCGGGGTTACTGCAAGGCACCTCAGTCCTGTCCAACTCAGGCTGCCTCCAGCAGCCCCCTTCTGTTCCCAGGTTTTTGAGATGAGTCTTTTACTAATATTTAAAGAGTTAAAGGGTTTCATTTATGTGAACTTGCAAAAAAAAGAAGAAAGAAAGAAAGAAAGAAAGAAAGAAAGAA